AATGCGTTTCTCGGGAACCTGTCAAGGTCTGTATACCTCAAAGAGTGGAGACTCCTCAGCCTCCTGGGCAGCCTGTGCTAATGTTTGACCATGATAATTATTTTTTAAATTCATTTTGAAATGCTTTCTGTATCAAGTTCAAAGTTCCTGTGTTCCGACATGTGTCTATTGTTTCTCATTGTTCTTATGTGCACTTACGTGTTCTTATGTGCTGAGTCTGTCTCCATCTGCTCTGCACTCTCCCTTAGCTAGTTGAAAACAGGAATAATCAGGTGGGAAGGAAGGGTCTTCTTGAATACTGGGGAAAAAAAGGAGAAAATCATGAGAAGTGCAGATAAGGGGGGGTGAGGTGTGTGAAGTAATTTCAAAGGTGATTTTTTTGTCCAACAGTTAGCTGGACCAGTGAAAAATTAAGAAGTGTTTTTCAGGATAGTATTTTAATACAGCAGGAAATAGACAATTGAAAGTACAGCAATAATTGATAAAAATAAAGTTCTGAAACACTTAACATAGATACAGATGTGTGGTTGTTTTTGCTATTGCTATTTTTCTTTCTGAGCCCCTGTAAGACTTCTATAATATAGCCAAGTCAAGTATCTTTTTTTTCCCCTTTTCTAAGGCAAATGCTCTAAGACTTATGTTAAGAATAGTCAGCAGTGTGATAAGCAGTGACTGAAAAAGAGTACTAATACTCTCTTGTGCAGATCTAGAGAAATATAAAGCTGCTAAGTTACGTTAACCTGAGTATGTAGTATCATAATAAGCTAAGAGAAGGTAAACAGCTGAAAATGAGCGAGCCCTCAGACACAAAGTACCCTGACTGCCCCATTCAGTAGGTGCGTGTAGAATAAAATTGCTTGGGTATTCACTGAATAATGGGAATACAAAGCAGAAGAGGTCCCTCCCTGTGAATAACATTGTCTAAAAAACATACAGAACTGCCTGCTGTCCTAAAACAGGAAGGCTTTTGTCAGTGAGGAAAGAGTTGCTTCATCTCCTGGTGCATAATGTGGCTCCTTTTTGTACCAGTGTCTTTGTCTGGCCTAGGAGAGAGCTAGAAAAAGACTGAGGAGGGGAAAAAAAGAAGTTTAAATTAGTTATTATTAAGGTATTGAACTTACTTAACAACATTTAAGCTGTTGCTTGTGACATCTCTGTCCTGATCTTCCTGTGTCACACCTAATATGGGTTTTTGTCTCTCTGAAGAACTTCCCTTGGTTCCTAATAACTTGGTTTTATTCCTAAAAAATTTCTCCCTGACCTTGCTAACCACAGTCTTGCCATTCAGAACACAGTTGCAAAAGATTATTTATCCAGCTGGGTCATTGATTAATCAATTTTTTTTTTCCTTGCATCTTGCCACATTACAGATGAGGCCCATATATTTATTTTAAGGGTTCTTTCTATCCTGTCGTCTATTGTTCATCTGTTACCCATCTGTCAGTCTCTCTTACGCAGGGACTTAGAGTGCCATGCTGGTTTTTGTCATCTACTTACTGAATTTTTAGAAGTATCTCTCTCTTTTTGTTCCCCAGGCCTGAATGAAACCCTCCTGCCACATGGAGATGTCTTCTTTGCCTGTTTTGGGTCTCTCCTTGGTGTTTTGGTTGTGGTTTTTTTTATAATTCCACAATGAAGTTGTTAGGCTGTGTGTCCGTTAAGATCCCTGCCTGTCACACTAAGCCTGTGCTCCTGCTGTTCTCTGTAGTGCTGACCATTACTTCTAGTCATCACTCTCATACACAGAAACTTAGATAATTTCTTAGACTAAGTTTTCTAGGCAGTGTGGCAATGCCAGTAATGAAAGGCATCTTCCATCTGTGGAGCTTTAGTTATGTTGAATATTTCATTCATGAGTTTGAGTAGCTATTCTTGGGTTTAGGAAGCATTTTGTTCATTTGGGGTTTGTGCATTGTTGATTGTTGTTGTTTGTTTTGGTTTTTTGGATTTTTTTTTTCCCCAGTGATGTAGAGCAGGACAGGAGAACCTAAATCACTTATTTGTCCGGTAGCTTAACGTGATCCTTCTAGTGTTTCCTCTTCTTATTGTGGGTTCTTTTGCTTGGTGAGCTATATTTGTATTTTTGGTGGGTGGGGAGGGATTTGTACCCTTATTTAGTGTAATCCTGCAAAATAATAAATGATATTTTTTGAGTTGTGTTATCTTTCCTACAGTTCTGAATAATAGCCATAAAAACAATGGGAAGATTAGTCACCATCGTAATAAGAAAAAGCACTAGAAGTACAAGTAACATCTAAATTCACCCATGCATATACTCTCTTCCCCTTCAGATTTTTATTTTTTTTAATATTCACAAAGTGATAATTATCTTCACAACCTAGAGGGTTAGAATAAGAGTTTAAAATATACTGTCATCTGTTTCATAAGCTAGTAAATACTTAATACTTTTTCCCTTTTTCCCAGTTTCATTAAAAGATAATAATATGGACTTCTTCCCTAGTCTTGGCAAGACATGAAGGTGGTACAGAACCAAAAGAGCTTGGTGTATTACATAAGCAGCCCTCTGAGTGAATTTTCTTTTTGTACTTCAAAACTACCTTGTTTTTTAAACTAGTTAAAAAAAGTAGGTTCTGCAAAGCCTTAATTATAACTTGTGCTCAGTCTCACAAACCTCTGCATCAGGTAACAAAATTTCCTGGAGAGATTGATAAAGATGCTTTATTTCTCACCCTCATCTCCCTCTTCCTCTTTGAATTTATGGTAAATCCATGGTTTTCATTATTAGTAGGTGTAGTGTAAGAAAAAGAAAGAAAAGCGGGGAAAAATGTTCACATGGCCTTATGAAAAGAAAATTTCCATATTTTGCAGTGCACCCAGAATCGAATACTGTCAACTCTATAGGTTATTACTGTAGATACACAGAAAGCCATATTAATTTTTCCAAGGTACTCTTTAAATATTTGTCAAACTTAAATTATATTTACTTACCCTTGCTTTTGGTGTCATTTCTTGCGGTTTAAAAAGGACAGAGAATGATCCATTTAAAATGGTAAAGTATGGAGTTTGGTTGGTTTGGCTTTTTTTCCTCAAAGCACTGACTGCAGATTGCAGCTTTGTTATCTTAATAAACATAAAGGAATGGATATTTTTCTGTCATTTTGCCCCCTTGTAGAAGGTGTTTCTATGTATTACTGGCAAAAAGTCTTCCTTACTTATTTATAAATGCTTGTTGTCAATACATTCAGCCTCTGTAGAAACTGTCTCCTAAGTATGGCCAGTCAGCCCTTTGCCTCTGTCTCCTGAAAGACAACTGCCTTGCCCAGCACAGGTCGAAATTGCTGTTTGAAGGGATCTTTCATTAGATGAAGATGCATGTATTTCATTGTACATTCTTGTGGGTTTTTTTTTTATTTTACCAACACATTCATTTTTGGATCTTTTTTACGATTATATCTATGTAGGTATGAATATATTGGAACATGGCATGTTACTGAATTCTTGTGCGTGTGCATAAACCTGCTCACTAGGTGGATGATGGAAAGAAGACAGAGTCACCAGTGTGTTTAATTTTGTCTTACCTTACATGATTCTTAAGCGTATTTACTGCAAATGTAGCAATAAATAGGTTTCCTCAAATAATGTTGGGCAGGAAATATGATGAAGCTTTTAAAGTAATCTTTTCACTGTGAGGAAGATAATGGGCAAGTTACTCCGGTTTTCTTTAGTATCACTTTGGGGAACTGCAGAATTGAGTTTTGTTGAGAGCTGGCTAAAGAAATGCTTTCGGAGCTCATTGGTTTTCCAGTAGAGAGGGTAGAGGAGTATTACTTGTTGTTATGTTTCTTCAGGCGTTTATATTTGCAACTCTTTATGAGCAGACTTTCCTTATTTTAAGTGCAAGAGCCCCAGGTGACTGGATAAGATTTTCCTGTTGAATAGGGTTCTTCCAGCAGAGATGTAGTAAGATGCAAAATGTTAGCTTTTAGAAAAATGCACAAGGTTCCCACATCTTTAAATTATTTTCAAAAATGTATTTCTTTCTCCAGTAGAAGCAGTGTTTTAAAATGGGATTTGTGTATGCCAGTGTATAGTTAGCTTTTTTCCTGTAGTTCTGAATGGCCAGTGTGTGTATAGTAACACTGGTTTCTGAATTCAGTTAAGCTCTAGACTGATCACATAAATATTTTGAATTGGTTTAGTTAATGTATAGTTATTAATTCTTCAGATGTTTTTGAGGTACATAACTTGTCTGATTAAAACACAAGCTCTAAATTGTAGGCTAAGGTTGTCAAGGCCTGGTAGGTGCTACAGTATTTTTTTCCTTCTTAGGTAGCTTAATGTTAGGTAAAAGGTCCAAAATGACTTTTCGTATTACAACATTTAGCTATAGTATAGGATAGACGATCAGAAAGCCTTTGTCTTAAACACCATCCAGAAGTTCTAAAGAAGCAACTGAGAATTACGTGACGATTCATTATTATTTTCTGGCACTTAATCTTTGTCTACTTCAAAATATGTTGCTCTGTGGTAGCTTGAAAAGATTTTTTGTGTAAAAAAAACCACCTTAAAAAGCACACCTTATTAAAATATGTATCTTGTGTCTCTTTCTTCAAGATGCAATCAAAGATCACAATTTTTTTGAGTTGCTGAAACCCAGCAGCTCTGATATGAGCACGGTGTCAGGTATTCAGAAGTATTCACAAAGTCAAATAATATAACTTTATTCATGTGCTCTGACCCATGATTTCTAGTGAAAGTGTCTGAAATGCTTTACTGCTTTAGTAAATAGTGCTAGGGGTGTTTTCAGTTCCCTTTCATGAAGCTATCTAAAAAACTAAAACATGGAGATTTTGTGCATCTATGTTAGCACTGTGGTTTATTCAGTCTTATTTATTAAAATGGAAATCTCTTTTATTCTCCTTAAATTTTGGAAAGTATGGGTGGTTGCAATATATTTCACATTGTAAATAGTCTGTTACGTTTCTAAAAAGATATGAGCATATTTATTTAATGTTATTCTATTTTTTTTTCTTTTCCAGTTTCTCAAACAGTTAGGCATACATCCTGACTGGCAATTTGTAGATGTTTATGGTATGGAACCAGAACTGCTTAGCATGGTGCCGAGACCTGTCTGTGCAGTGCTACTACTCTTTCCAATAACAGAAAAGGTAAATGCTTATTTAAGAATCAGCTAATTGCTTTTGTTGTAAATTAAATGTGAATGAATGGTTTGAATCTTGTACTTTGATGTCATAGTAGAATCAAGATGAGACACAAACCTTAACTGAAGGACTTTTTTATTTAAAAACAACAACAAAATGCTTCTTTCAGAACCTTCTTTTCATTACCTTACACATGTATTTTCAATTTCTTCTCAAGTTGAGAAAAGCTAGTGTAGAAGCACAGAAATATGCCTTACATTTTCCTATTACAGGCAATGTAAGGCTAAAAAACACTTAAATATTGTTTTTAAGCAAGTTTTAAATATGCATTGTGAAATGGCTCAATTCTGCTACTTTTAGCTGAAAGCTACAATAGCATAAGCGAAATAGGAGGTAAGTTGTAGTGCTTCAAATGCAACTACATTTTTGAGTTTTCACACTGTTGTGCGAATCAAACTTCAATCCAATCTTGGTTCAGTCATCAGTACCAATATGGCTTTTGCTTCTTGGACACATGGGGCATATTTCTAGGATGAAAGAGGATTTCCTTCCCCTCTTCTTCCTCTGTGTTAGCTTTTTTAATAGTTGGTTTGGTTAAATTTTCCAAGTCTGCTCATTTTATGTCATTGCATGCTTGTCCACAGAGAAGACATCCATCTTGCATAACCCCTCTGAGTGTTGTGTAGGTTGAAATATGTGAGTCATATTGATCTTTCAGTTTATAGGAATCTTACATGGTTGCGATAAGGTCAGCCAAAAAATTTGAGGTGAATTTGCCCAAACTTCTTCCTTTTAATGTGTCTCTCAAAAAGAACATCTGTTTAAATATAGAGAAGGGTGATTAGGTCAGTCCTCTTACTCCTTAGGCCCTGTAAACCTTTGCATTCTCAGTTTCTCCAAAACAGCTATGCAGGCAGTCCTCTTCAGGCTCTTAGTTCAGTCACCTTGACAGTTTTGAATTTAAACAAACCCTTAACTGTCCTCACCTGTCTTCAGGAAATTTCCTTTCTGTCACCTCTGAGGTGTTGTTCTCTGTGTGCTGTGGTTTCTGTCTGCCCGCTTGAGCTCCGAGTCTGACCTCCTTCTGTGACTGTCGCTTTTCTTTTGCCTCTTGACCTGGGCAAACTTCTTTCCTTGGATCGCGATATGGGATTATCCCATGAGAAAGAGCAACCTTCCTCTTGTTGCAGAAGGTGTATCCAGTTTCACCCTGAAGAAGCACATGACAAACAGAATCAGAAAAAACAGCATATGCTCTGTTGCTTTGATCAATCAAATTTTACCACCAGCTAAATATTTGAGATTTTCTCCAGCACATTAATCCTTCAGAAATGTAAGGGACACAAATGTTTCTGTCAGCTGCTTAGCCTGAGCTGAATCTTTCATGTGAAGTTCCAATGTTCCGAAGCTTTTGTTGTTCAGTGTGAATTGTACAAGACTACTGAGTGGTATTTTGTATTTCTGGAGTACTTTCTGCTTCTTCAATTTCCCTTTCAATAAGGCCTGTTTTATTCTGCTCTTAATTTTTTATTTATTAATGTTTCTTGGCTGCGTCTGCCTTTATGAAAATATTCCTCTTTAATTTTGCTGCCTTCGTAAACACTTTTCTGTCATGTCTTTGTTCTTCTTCCTAGAAGTTCGTTTTGTTTGTTTCCTATATATAAATTTGCTTGAACATGTTTTCTTGTTAGCATGCAGAAAATCTTGAGGTTATAGTTTAGAAGTCAATGACTTTCTTAGTTTGCATTGTAGGTTCTAGAGAGAGTGAATACTGTGAGCTTTGGGCATTTTTGGGCATGGCCCTATGAATGCCTATTACGGGATAGCTCAGGTTAGGAGAGACCTCTTGAGGTGACCTGGTCTAACCCTTGCTCAGAATTGTATTTTCAGTATACTGAACATTTATATATTTATTTTTGCTATGCAGTTTGTTTGGCAGAGAATGAATGGCAGCTATATCGTTTACCTTCTGTAATCTGAATTTTTGTCCAATTGTGCTCAGTACAATTTTTTTTTTCTCAAATAAGGATATTTTTATTAACTTGTACATAAGTGGTGTCAAATTAAAATGCTTTCTAAATGCTCTTAGGCCATTCAGAACATTCAGACAAGCTGCAGTTGTGGAATCATGGAAAAGTTTCTTGTTACTGTTTGTCGCTGACAGAAATTTTTAATGGATATACAGGAAGAGTTCCTTGATAACATTCCACATTATTTTTGTTGTACTGGTGTAAAAAGCTTATCTGCTTGGGTTTTTTTTGTCTGCAGAAGCACACAGGAAAAGAGGCAAAAGAGGAAGAAGGAACAGTGGAACATTTGTGGATTTTTTCATTCTTTTTCTGTTTGAAATGAAAAAATGAAATGTAAAAATGGACTGCTTCATGCTGATTAAACACCTAAAGTATTACATTTGCATGATCATAGAACAGTTTCGGTTGGAAGAGACCTTCAAGATTGAGTCCAACCTTTGTCCTAGCCCTATCAACACCACTAAACCTTGTCCCTCAGCACAACATCGACCTGTCTCTTAAACACCTCCAGGGACGGTGACTCAACCCCCCCCCTGGGCAGCCTGTTCCAATGCCTGACAACCCTCTCAGTAAAGAAATTCTTCCTAAAATCCAACCTGAACCTCCCCTGGCACAACTTAAGGCCATTTCCCCTTGTCCCATCAGTTACTTCTAGGGAGAACAGACGAACCTCTGCCTCTCTACAACTTCAGGCAGTTGTAGAGAGCGATGAGGTCTCCCCTCAATCTCCTCTTCTCCAGGCTAAACAGCCCCAGATCACTCAGCCGTTCCTCATAGGACACATGCTCCAAATTCTTTACTAGCTTGGTAGTCTGCCTCTGTACCCTCTCCAGCACCTCACTTGGAGACCTATGTCTTTAGTAACTTTATGTGAGTTTAAAAAGAAATTTTGAAATTATGCTAGATAACACATATTTCAAAATGCTGTTTCAGGTATGACTGGTTTTTAGGCTAGTGACAAGGCATTGGGTTAAGAAACAATGCAGAGCTCTCTTCAGCTGAGTAAGTTTATTTATACGTGTTGAGCCACATGCGCTAAGCATTTTGAATTACAGACTGAGTTTTGTTTTTTGTTAATTTGCTACTTTTTAAAAAGTATTTTTACTTGAATAATGTCAACAATATATATTTGTAATATTTGTGAAAAATCTTTACTTCTAGTATGAAACCTTCAGAACAGAAGAAGAAGAGAGAATAAAAGCTAAGGGGCAAGATGTCAAATCATCAGTGTATTTCATGAAGCAGACCATTAACAATGCTTGCGGAACAATTGGACTAATTCATGCTATTGCAAACAACAGAGATAAAATGAATTTTGGTAAGTTTTCTTGATGGGCTGGTTGGTTTTGTTTTGGTTTTTTTTTGACTTTTCCCTTTTTTTCTTTAACCATGGGGAGGCATGGGGGGAAGGGATACATTTTGTACTATTTTCTCTGAATATGACCATTCATAAAGGATGATCTCTATTCAGAACATTTCTACCTATAATTATAAATAGCAGTATTTCATACTAATCCGTGAACTAAAGCACTCAAAACATTGCAAAGTGCATCAGGTAGCAATTCCTCTTTCAGTCAGCCTTCAGTGTCTTGAAGATGTGATATATCTTTAAATCTTTTGTTGGATAAAAGCATTCTGTAAGCTCTTAATGAAGTTTGAGTTAAAGTATGACTCTAATTATGTTTATTTTTTTTATTTTTTTAAGAAACTAATTCTTCACTGAAAAAATTCCTAGAAGATTCATTATCTATGACTCCTGAAGAGAGGGCCAAGTATCTAGAAACTTATGAAGTTAGTATCATGTTTACTTTTACTTGAAATGGTGTAAGAACTGCTTGCATGAGCAGGGAAACATTTGAGCAATTTGATTTTAGATGTGAGATTGTGATCAGACAGTTGCCACAAAGATAATCCTGCTTTGGTAGTTTAAAGTATTCCTGCCTGCCCACAGCTCAGTCAGCAGAATGGATTTCGTCAGCGTTCCTCATCCGTATTAATTCACTGGCTTAGTTTAAAATGACTTTAAAATGGATGAGAAATGTGTGCATCATCTTCTTGGTGGGTTCAGGATGCAGTTTAATGGTCAATTTCAACTCATCTGAGGCTATTGCTGAAAGATGGTCCTTCTGCTGCCTCCTTTCATGTGTGCATTTCAGTCATCTCTCCTTGGCTTTAGCAGTTTGGGGCACACAAAGAGCTGATTTGACTGAAATATTATAATCTGCTTCCCCCACCACCCCAAACAATTAGATGAGCTGTCTGATAGTGTGGTAAGCCAGACGCTGGTGCTGTCAGAAAGGATGTAGCAGAAACATCTGACCAGTGGTGGAAGGGGAGAAGGGTAGTGTGGCTCCTGATGGTAATGATGATCCTCTTTCAGAATGAAAATAATGACAATTTCCAAGTCTTGAGATCAATTCACGCTTACTGTGAAGCCCCCAGGAATAAGGGTGTTAACACATGGCCGAGGGAAGTAGTAACAGACAGTAACAGCGAGGTTTGATGACATCTTCTGTGGAAATGTTAGACACAAGATGTTTCTTCAGAGCTTCTGTCTGAAGTATTTTGTCTGCTCAAGAAGTGATACATAACAAAAATGCTTACCCTTAGTGTCTTCTGTGTGTTTAAGTGCCATTACAAACTGTTATGTATTTGATTTGAATTAACTGTGATGAAGCTGAAATACTGGTCTTTTGGAAGTGGAGATTATTTATTTATTTGTTTGTTTGTTTATTACAAGCACTGACGGAAAATAGTTACATCTGTGGCATTTGATAAAGTGCGTACGGTGATTCTTAAAACACTCAAAGTCTCTCATCTAAAATCTGATTGAAATATGTTTTGGTTTTAGGCTATTCGTGTCACTCATGAATCCAGTGCCCATGAAGGTCAGACTGAGGTATTCAATTTTTTAAAAAATTTTTTTAATAACTACTTTGGGTTGAATATACTTGAAATGAAAACAAGGATATATTAAAGGTTTACCTTTATTGCTTCATTTACAGTATTGTGTCAGTAGTCAAAAATCAGGACACAAAATCAAGTAGTGTTGTTCGAGGGGGAAACCAAACCTGAGAAGTTTTGTTTGTTTGATTGATTTGTTTTTTAAGCTTTTATAGAACTGGACTGATCTTTTCAAGTGTCATTTCAGAGTAAAAGAGCCAATACTATTATTTTTAATGAAAGTTGAGGTTTTGATCTTGCAAATTTGTAGCTGATACTATGAGATCCATAGTCTTATGAGAGTCTGAAAAGCTTTTCTTCAGGAAAAGAAATAGTACAGTACTTGGTCTGCCACTGTACGTACTGTTTGTGTACAAATGCTAATTCAGATAAAATCTCACTAATACGTATATTTATAAGCTTTTATCTTCCAACAGATAGGGTGATATTAACAAAAAAAGAATGAACCCATCCTGAAAACCAACAGAAAACCTTAAAATAAACATAAAGTGAACATCCAACATTTTTCTGCTTTAGTCATGCTTAGCATGTTTTTCATTCTTCTGGTTCAGATTTCAGTATCTCTTCCACACACACAAAAAAAAAGTTTCTAGCACTGTTTTGTTTGACAAAGGAGGAACTCTGCTTTGTTTGGCTGTGACTCCAGTGGCTCATCAGCTTTCTTTTTTCTGAGGTACAGTAGGTAAGGTTTTCTTCCTTCTTATGGCTTGTACAGTGTCTTCTAAACAATGCAGGAGAAAGCAAAGCAGTCCTTTCTGCTCCACCTCACCCCACCATCTGAAAATTGAAATAATGAGAATTACTTTAACTATTTCTGTTACAGATACTCAACTTCCTTTCAAAACCCCACACCATTTGTTCTTCTTATCCTTTTCTATAATCAAGGTTCTACATTTCAGGAAGAAACATCAGAACAAATTAATACTTCTCTTTCTGAGTGAGAGACTCCAAAAGAATTGTGTCTCTTTACAATTGAGTCCTTTTCTAGATATTCTTGGCAAGCTCAGTAAGAGAGAGGCTATGGAGGTGATTTCTACAAGCTGATGAAGACTGGACCTTTACTTAAGATCCTTGTGAAAGAGAACTTCTTTAGTTGTTTTGATGTACCATGACATTCGTCCAGGAAGTGGTTTATCTGTGCGTTCTTCTAGCAGAAATCATGGAATGATTGGGAAAGAAAATGCAAGGGCTGTGTAGCTCCTGAGAGTCTTTGCAAAGATTCAGGAAGCATCTAAGTGACGGTGGAATCTCTTAATAAGGCACAGTTAACTTCTTGAACTTCCACAAATTAATTTGTTTCCTGATCAAGATAACCGCAGTACAAAAGATTAGCAGTTGTGTGGAAAGATGAAGATAATGAATAAAATAATAAAATTTTTCAAAATTATCTTAGCAACCTTGTCTAAACACAAATATTGAATAGGTAGCTTCCTTGCCAAATATTTATTATTCCATTTTGCATAACTGAATCTGGAAGTAATTCAATATGGATATTCCTTAGACAAGTAAAAGACCTTTTTCTGTCCTCCTGTTTCCAAAACTGAAATAGTACAATGACTGAATACGTGTCCTAGGCTCGTTTTCTCAGAGTAATTCTGATCATCAACCAAGGAGGGAAGAAATAAACAAGTTACCTTACCAGAACATCTGATTGCCTGAAGATCTTGTCCTACCTTTGTGTAGTGAAATCGGTGGGAAGGCCTCCCCTTTCATCTCTACAGGAGGAATTGCTTTACTTTAAAGGACCATTTTTAAGCAAAAAAAAAAAGTCTGAAATATGAATATGCTGAGAAGTGTGAGGGTTGGATTGAGTTTATCCCCTCATCTTTCTCCTTCCAATGGTACTTTTTAAATGCTGCTGTGTGCCTCTTCGTGTAGTGGTGGTGGCACTGAGGAGCAGCATGCCCTGGAAGATGCTGAAGATAGGATGTGCGGGTCATACAAGGATATTGACCTGTCCTGCAGGGTAAGTTGACGATCATTTCCAGCACCTTTGGAGTAAGAAGAGAATCCCATTCCTCCTGTGTAGCCATTACTGTTAGGATTACTTCCCTGAGAACTTAAACTGCCTTTCAGAGCACGGGAAAGAAACGTGTTTACCTTCCTATGACTTGGGGTTTTGTTCTCGCCCTGCCCACCCACCCTTGCCCCCCTGCTGCCCTGAACAGCAAGGCCATTTTGCATAGAAAATTTTCCTTTGAAGAAAGTGGCTCGTACAAGTTACTTAATGATAGTAAGTGTTGTAGCTCTGCAAGGAAAAAAGTCCTTTCCAGGCCTCCTACAGAACTAAACATGAAGAAAATGTGCAGGCCTGCTCTTTTAGAGTGATTAACTTGGCTTGTGTGCTTCCTAAGAATAGCCTGCTGCGTGGGTAGTTCAGTCCCTTAGGTAGGTATTGCATTCTGGTGTCCACTCACGTTCTTCTGAAAATGTTGCTTAAGATTAAACAGAGTGACTTCCAAGTGGGATGTATGGCAGCTGGCCTTGCTGATTTAGTTAGGAAACTATGTAACTTGAGAGCATCTCAAGATGCTATTCTTCTCCCTCCCCCATGAAAGACACACCACCACACCATAGATAAGTATTATGGGATAAAAGTAAAATTTTCTGGAATCTTGAGATGTGGAAGGTTTAAAAATAGCAAAGGATACAGAGAGATTCTCTTCTAAAAAATATTTTTTTTTCTTTTTCTGGGCCTTGATTTCTCAGATCTTTGAAGATTCAGCCTTTAGTAATTCCAAGTAAAGGCTTTATTTGTTGGTCATTCCCTGGCAGTCTTGCTAAGCCATCTCAGTGGCTATCTACCTGGTTTTTACAATATGCAAGTGGATTTTCTGCTTTCATTTGTGTTTTGTGTATGTGGATATTTCAACCATCAAAATAAAGCAAGCCTATCTAGAAGTAAGAGGTTAGCAGCAATACAGTAAAGTGATGCTGTCTTACTAGTGTCTGTGTATTTCATCTACTCATCTTGCCCAGTGCATAGGATTTGCTTCTGCTTTAGAATTCTAATCTGTAATCTGATTTTTTTAATTATTTTAATTTCTTACTTTTTAAAGAAAAGTTGTATCGGAAAAAACTGAAAAGGTATCTGACAAGGTATTACTTGTATAACTTTAATACTATAGAATCATTCAGGTTGGAAAAGCCCCTTGGGATCATTGAGTCCAGCAATTAACCCTACTCTACAAAGCTCACCCCTGAACCGTATCCCCCAGCACCACATCTAAACGACCTTTAAACACATCCAGGGATGGTGACTCAACCACCTCCCTGGGCAGCCCATTCCAATGTCTGACCACTCTTTCTGTGAAAAAAAATTTTTCTCTTGTCCAGTCTAAACCTACCCTGTTGCAGTTTGAAGCCATTAGTGGACTGTTAGGTTCTGCATTCCAGTTAGTGATTACTCAGAGAGAGGGCTTACAGTGGTCACTTTCCTTCTGAGATTTATCATTAATGTGTTGCCTGATCTAGTTGAGAGGCATCCCTGCCCCTTGCATTTAGAACTTTACAGGCGATCTATAGATTGAATCAGGACAGAATATTTTGAGGAGGTTTCTTGTATTAAAATATCTGAGAATTTGAATGAAATCGACTGAGTTTTTGTTAAACTGCTTAAACATTTTCTTAAAAATAGAGAGTTTCTTTTGTTCTTGTGAAGAGATTACATCTGAAGAAGAGATAAGCATTTTTCATTTTGTTAGTTCATTTCAGGTTTGCAAAGTGGAAGGAATGTAAATTTGGGCTTATCATTCAGGCCATGTTTTGAAGCAGGTTTGATTCAAGTTCTGTGTTAAAGCTCCTGGATTCTGTGGCTCCATGGCTCACTTTTTGCTACAGTAAAGCAAATAAATAGATAAAGCAATCATGTGGGTACTTCTGTATGTGAAAACTGTAGGTCTGTTTAAAATTACTTTAGTGCCAATCAGTAAAATCTGGCAATAATTCCATGGGAGAAGTGTGGTAATGGTTTCAGGGGTTTCAAGGGTGGTTTGATTCTGGTCCCGTGTGAGGGACATGTAACAGTCTTTCTCTTAAACTTTATTCTGCTGAGGCTTACACTTTCTCAAGTGACAGGTATTTCATATCCAAAGCTGCCAAAAAAAAAAAAGGATCTAGGTCTTTACGATAAAGCTTACTCTCCTTTCTGTGTGATAGCTCCTGAAAGGCAGCTCTTGCAGCTCTTACTGAGACTAGAATAGCTGCCAGCTAGTCGAGATCCTCTATTCTTTCATGAGTCTTCTGCTGAGCATATACTTTTGTTTGTAACATGTAGAATGTCTGAAGATGTGGAAAATACTACCTGCTTCTTTCCAGAACTGGACATGCTTTTAGAGCTGGTCTTTATATTGTTGCTTTATACTGGGTAGTGTCTGAGTTTTTCTGTTTGTTTTGTGGTATTGTGGGTGTTTTTGTTGTGTTTTGTTTTGATTTTTCTCTGCATCCTTCAGCAACTCCTGAACTGCTGAAACCTTTTACTACCACATACCTTAACATTTCTGATACCCTCCTAGAAAAATTGCAGCTCCCAAAACCTCCCAATCCTTTGAATATATGAAAAAGATAATACAGTTTGTGGATGCTAGAGCATCTGCGTTAGCTGTCTAATCTACAGCAAAAACTGGAGGAAGAAAAGTAGTAATTAATAGCACTGATCCTTGTTAGGTCGATATCCACCTTTTTCCATATTACTATGTTGGGCTATTTTCTTTCAAAACAATCATAGTAACTGTTTTCAAGTTTTGGGTAAGAAAATCTGAGGGGAGAATTTTTTTGAAAACAGGAAAACCTGTCATTACATGAGAGAGACTTCTACATCTGGAGTCATTGGATATGGGGAAGAAACTTATTTTGTGTCCTACCTACTCTTTTTCAGTAATAATAAAAGGGGTTTGCATAGTTTTCTGGAAAAAAAAAATGGAAAGGAGGAGAATGTTTAAGTTTAGATTGGATATTCGGAGGAAGTTCTTTACTGAACGAGTGGTGAGGCACTGGAACAGACTGCCCAGGGCGGTGGTGGAGTCACCAACCCTGGAGGTGTTTAAAAAAAAAGTAGATCTAGCACTTGAGGCTGTGGTGTAGTGGTTAGGTATGCTGGGATGAAGGTTGGACTAGATGATCTTCAGAGGTCCCTTCCAACCCCGAACATTCTGTGATTCTGTGATTCTGTAATGCACAATTGTAGAAATAAACCAGTAGAAATTGTTCAAATAAATGAAATGATGATATACTATTGCATAATGTTAGAGATTGGAAGGGACCTCGAAAGATTATCTAGTCCAACCCCACAATGGTAGCCTGAGGGAAGTTATTTCAGGTAGAAAATATTATCTGTTCTGATGCTTGAAATAAATGACCTGTTTTAATGTGTGAATATAATATAACATGAATAACAAGCTATTTTTTTTCTGCTCTCATATTACCGACATCCATTGTCACTGCTTTGCAACTGTGCTTTGATACAGCTCAATTCTACAGTAAGGAATACCAAGCTATACTCCGTCACGTACTTTTTCAAAGATTAATTGGCCTTTATGCTTCGATACACCTCAATTCTACAGTAAGGAATATCAAGCTATACTCCATCACGTACTTTTTCAAAGATTAATTGGCCTTTAGTCAAGGAATTAGATCTAGAAAACAACTTGTATTCAAGTTCTGCATTTCTAAAGGCTTTGACATGCTTAAAATCCCATTCTGGTGATAAGACCTGATGTTTTAGTCGGCTCTGTGTGTGTTTGTGGCTGTTGAAATAACTCTGCGTTGTCAGATGACCTCCAGTGTCTACTGTCTTCCATCAGCTTCCCCAACAGCTTCCTGAAGCGACTCGCCCCACAGCCTCATCCGAGCTCATGCTGGCTCGGGGGTGTGCAGATCACACTCCTGGGAGGAGAGAAGGCTTTGGCAGACTAGATTTAAATTAGCTTCTGCCACTGTGGACAGCAAATACTCAAATAGTTGTGGTGTTAAGTAATTGACAGGCTGTGAAACACCAAGGTCTAAGTAAGTGCTGGGACACGGCTTTCCGAATCGCTTTTTGTTACAAGATCAAATGATAAAGTGAACCTTTTGTGTCTTGCGGTACTCGCAGCATATGGAACCACTTCGGTGCTTGAGGCTGGAACATTTTTTGACAGGGGGGTTTTAGCATGGTTTGTGCATTACTGCTCAGCAGAACGTGATTTGTTGTCCTTGGGAAATTTGCTTCTTTATGTGTTGCCACAGCATAGCTCAAAATAATGATTCAATCAAGCAAATAAATACAAGTGAAATGGCCCCTTGAAATACCTCTATTAGAGAGTGATAAAAGTTTTCACTATGTTCATGGTGTAAATTTTTAGGAGAAAATAAAGAGCATCCAAATTTCTGGTTTTTCTTTCCCCTTCCTTAGAGGCTGTTGAGAATGTCTGACTATGTGAAGGTTAACTTCAAGTGTTTTGGTTACTAGTTATTATGGAAGTGAAAAGAAAACAGAACTGGAATGTAAGATACATCAACTATTTTGGGGAGCACAGAAAATACTTTCTTTGGTTCTGTAATTCCTTGTGTTTGCTTTGGATTTGGGGTTTTTTTTGGTTTTTGTTTGTGGGGTTTTTTTTTACTACAGTTCGAATATTTATTTACCAGCTGACAGCTTTGGCTGCTAGAACTGTATGTTCAGATACAGGCTCAGACTTGAGCAGACTGATGTGCTGCATCTGAGCTGCCACTTCAAATGACAACAACATTCTGCACCTCATTAGACCTCTATCAAAAATACGGATGGTGGAAAAATCAGCCTTTGAAGAATCAAAATTGGTGTTTGTCAGCGTAAAAGTCACAAGAGCTGGCCTCGGATGTTTACAAGAAACTGAAATACTTGCACACATCAGTATGCTTACTTAGTTATACTTTTTTGTTCACAAATATGACCAGGAATATTTTTAACATGGATTGAAGTTGGCAGCTGCTAAAAAAGCTACCACA